ACAGATTTGTTGCTTTGATCCAATTTACTTTTAGTTAGCTACGAAGATGATAAAAATTACCATCTGTTGTTGACTAATATAAAGAAAAGGTCTATTAAATAAGACACGTTTTTGTTCTTTATTTTTATTTGGTTTTATTTGATGTTTTTTGATTATAGCTTGAAACCACACAGTATTTTTGGTACAATTATGGAATTTTCAGCATATGATATCGGTAGCCCAAATTTTGCAGGTCAATCATAGAAATCAGGTGTGCGTTGACAGGGGGTCGAACCCTGGACCATGTGCATGGTCGGCGAGAGTCCTAACCGCTGTGCCACCGACCATCCTTTAAGTTTACTTGCTTATTTGTTTTAAACGAACCTCTTGTACACCTTAGATTCATTTTCTACACTCTCACAACAAGAGAATGAAATTTTGCGCATTATTCTGTTTGACATATGACTACTAAAACATTTAATCCTACTAGTGAGGATGATGGGTACTGGGAGGTATCTTTGTGCATATTGTAACCAACACCGTGACAGATACTCCATCCGTTTAAAAAGTTGATAAAACACCTTTGAAACAACCAAACGTAACATATGATATGATTAAAGCATTCCTCAAAGCTAGTAGTACAAAATTACACAAGACTAACTCTACCTGAGGAAATACAAATCGTAATTGATCTCCACAGTTCTATCTATTCAAGTTTACTCAAACAGAAGTGCTGTAAGTTTCTTGTATTATATCTTATATCACCACTGTAATCCTATCCCAAATTTGTGACAAGTCTATGTAGATAACACATTTATCGTGTTGAAAACAGAAAATCTCTAGATGGTGTCTTCACACATAAAAATTCAGCAGTAGAGAGAATTAGAATTTCACTTGAGTGAGAAAATGAACAGATAGGATTAACTGTGTTAGACTATAAAGTGAAACGAACAAGAGAAATTAAATTCTTCACCAGTGTTTATAAAATGCCTAAGAATCTCAAAAGATATTCAGACTTTAAGTCATCTCAAACGTTATCCATGAAGGCTAGCTTATTTAGGTATCTAAGAAACCGGGTGGTTTCAGCTTCTGATTAGTTGTAATGTATACATGACACATAACCGATCAATAATTTATTTGAATACTCTATAGAAATCTGTTAATTATTACAACTATATTTTTACTCACACTTAACACAAACACGTACAAATTTTCATTTTAAAACAGATTAACTATTTATCGTCGTTTCAACATTTACACGTGATCAGAAAGATGAAAAAGCCCGAAATTCTCTACTGAAACATGAATTTGAAGATTTACTTTATGAAACTACTGCCATTTTTTCAAGTGAAAAACTGAAACTTATTTTACAGTTCAATAGTCTTTGAACTATTTTATTTTCAATGGCAGCTGCAAATAATTACAAAAAGCGTTTATCATCAGTTTTTGTTTGAAACTTTGAAAATGTTAATGGTGGACTGTGATTCTTCATATTCGATCTAAAAACATATTTTTTAATCATTCAGAAAATAACAAATGTGCAATTTATTATACACCACAAAAAAAAAACAAAATTAGCTATTTCTAATATAACATGACATATGTTACCATGGTGTTTTACTTGTTGAAGAATAGCTTGATGACATGAGCACTAGTGTGTACAATATACTTGTTCGAATCACTTGCCTTGAACACATCTAATTTGGTTTCAAGGCTTCCCTTATATAAAAATGATGCTTAACGTGTGCGGAATACAAAAGTTTGTAAAGTCTACCCATATTCTCTTTGAGAATTATCAACTATCTTTCAAGTGACAGCGAAAGGAAAACGAAATCATAGATTTATGAGTTTGTATGATATTTATCGATGAACTTTGATAATCAGAAATATAGATAAAGAAGTCGAATTAACCCTGAAGTATCATCCGTTTAGAATGACTTTCTGTTAGTATATAGCCACAATAAATGTATGCATATATGTTTGCTAATGTTAACACAGTCTTCGTAAATCGGAGATATTGAAAATACAATGTATGAATATTATAAATAGCGAAAAATAATAACATCTATATAATAAAAGTACAGTTCCCTATCAGTTTTGCATGCATATCGTGACAACAACATGTGAACAAAACTTCCTTTGACGCTGTTTTGATGAATTACACTCTGGAAATTGAATTATTGCTGTAAACTAGAGGTGAGGCGTTTCATGATTTCGACGAATCTCATAGGCCTGAAAAATAAGTGCTTTGTCTCACGTTGACATGTCGGCTGCTTGTGCATGTAACTTGAAGGCGATGGGAACACTAACACTCACTGGCGAATGTGGGCAAAACTGTTGAACAGTCCTAAATAGGACGAAATGCACATCCTGGATTCTACTACTAATTACCATCCACAAATTGACTGATAAATACGTGTCGAAGAGATTGTATTAATGATGCTTTGAGTTTCAAAATTTGAAATTAATTATTCAATGCAATCGTGATAATCCATATTTTCTTTCAGTGAACAGAGAACTGTTTAGCGTTTTCAAAAAGATCAGTTATCCTTAATGCTACTTCTTCCACCGAAGTGGATTACTAAGTTGGTAGTTCCTCTCGCAGATGCTGTATTTTCAGTTATATCAAATCTTGGAATCCTACGATGAATTTAGATGATAGTCATTTGAAACTGTCTACGGATTTCACAAAATATTATGCCAAAGCTCTAAAATATATCTAATAAAAGTCATATAAGGGTTTCTGATTTACATGAACATGTTCCAATCGACCTTAGTGATATGAAGAGTTCGGTCGATGAATAATATGCCACTGCAGCAGTAGTATGTTGGTTTATCATTATTGCTTTAGAAAACTAGTAGTAACTGACATACCAGTATATGACAGTTGAATCAGCTATTCACTGTACTGCTCAACATGCTCACTCATATCCATAATTCAGATGACATTGAAGTTAATTTCAGTATAGTTCCTCCAATCATTTAACAACTTATCAGGCAGCAAAATAAGTTAACAAATATTTAGAAGAATGCTGCATATTAAGTAGTTTGGTAAACATAACAGATCCGACCAAAGCGGCAAATAAGTACTTACATTTTCCTGCATTACTGAGTCTCTTTTTAAGGCGTTTGGAAAAATGTTTGTGAACATGATGTCATTCCTTTTTATTACCTGATTTGTAAAACGATGCAGAAAGCCGAAATTCGTCCAGAGTTTCTTTGGACCGTCAAAAGACTGAAGTGATCCATGCAACTTCGATATTTGCATATCTATGAATCAGTTTCATTCTTTCAAATAATTTAACCATTAGGGTTATAAAAATCTAACTTCTCCACATTTCAGCGCTTGAAATCACAATATTCTTGCATAAGTATTTTATATTAACTTAACAACTTCAGCACGAACTGTGTAATACTTGGCATATATGTATGCATAAATGTATTTCCATTGTCTGCTTCAGTTTTGAATGACGATAAACCAATGCATCTTAGGTAAAATAAAACTAATTGAGAGAAAATACAAGTTAGATTCCAGGGAACTACTGGAACTTTTATGTGGATCAATTGAAAGAGATCTGCAATTACCGGGATTATTGAAGTATTTCACCCCAATGTGGCAGTGGTTCTAGTAGAGTAGAACAATGATTCTTAAAGCGTAAAGGGTGAATTATGTTAGTTAATTTGTTTAATAAATGTTAAACTGCACAAAGCACAGGCGTACTGCATCCAGCTTTTGAAATGGAGTAATCTAATGGATGTGCATTAGGAGTTCAGTGGTTGAATTCTCTCCAAATATGCACATGGTCCGGCACCCCATCCACTACCAACGAGCATATAATAAGCCTTTCAATGAAATAGAAAAGAGCATTGAAAACTTCAAAAGTTAACCATCTTGTTCAAAGAATATGACGATATCTTAATAAAAAGATTTCTTTTTATCATCTCTTCAGTTCTTCACTTTGTTAAGAAATGATTTTACTCTTATTCGAAATATGCAAAAATAATCAAATTATTCTTTATTTAGATAATGGCCATGAAACCAAATATTTAAAAAGTTTTTTTCTGTCATGAAATGTCTACACTCCTCTTATTGACACGAGTGAAGGCTGTTGGTTTCTTATGCACACTCATATGACCATTTTTTTGTTATTTTCATGTTTTGACTCTCACCTTGACCCATATCTACTGTTTCAGTGAGTGAATATATGGATCATCTCTCAAAGCTGAATGAATCATGTTGTATTATCTATGTAAATGAGCCTGTTAGGTACTGGCATTTTTCCAATGCATATAGTTAACAAGGAATTTAAAGATGAAGTCATCGAGAATTATTTCGTCTTCATTATATGTACGTGACTTATAAAATAAAAGTCTAGAATCGATTATTGTCAAATTCTTGAGATTAGTCTGCAGGAAGTCGCGACAGTCATTAGGAATTCGTACCAGCAGGCAATTAGCTCTGTAGGATGTTAGTAGTACTGGGTCGCAGCTAGCATAATGCATCTAGTTCGTATTGTCGTTGACTGATTTCTGTTAGTCATCAGACATATGTTACCTACTAGATTGTAGGTATTGTCAAATAATCATGAAACCAAGGTTCACAGCTTCCTGCTGATCGCTTCAAGACATCTTATAATATTGATGGGGAATGGCAGGTATTTTAGATTGTTTAGCGATAGAGAAATTCTCTAATAGAATTCAATCCTCAAAACTAAGAAATGTCAGTGACCAGACCATGTCTATTGTGATATTGTGTGGTACGTTACTAAACTGGGTTTTATTTTCACAGGACTGAATATGAAATTTAAGCTGAAGAGCAGAGAGCTGTTTGGTGTCGATACAACTGTAGGTTTCATTCATGAACGAAAAGTAAAACTGCTTACTGAACTTCTAAATCCTTTAAAATTCCACCATGAATAAAAAGGCGTAGACAGACATCACTGAGAAGTAACAGCCAATAAGCGATACTTATTAAAATCTATACACAACCATTTTAAGTTACGTCATTCGTATATTACACAATTCTGAATCGTTCATTTCAATGAAGTGTGTGTCAGTAGTAACGCGTGATGACTCCCCAAATAATTAACTAGACTAGTAAATTAACTTAGTGAACTTTGCACTGAAATACACAGCACTTTTTTGTGTCTTTTGTAAATAAATTTAAGCACACGTCTTATCTCTGTTTCCATTAAAACTTCATCTCTGTGTAGAATTTAAGGTGGGTCGCTTCCAGTTTGCATTGATTTCATGTCGTATTTATTATTATTATTATTAGTATCTATTCCTTGATTTTTGATCCAAATAGCAATTCTTCTCCGTTGCACTCAGTTCTCTTTCATCAGTCCCAACCAGCTTAACAACGGAGCACAATCTTTATTTCTTCTCTACACAATCTTCTGTATGTCACTCTCGGAGGTTGATTCTGCCACTTCCCACTCGACTTCCACCAATGAACCTTGTCAGTGGTGTCACTTGAAAGTCTCTTCAGCATACTAACAAATCCTTTCCTACTGGCACAGTAGATAAGGCTTTAAAACTAATCTAATTTACCATCCTATCCTAAGTTCAGAAAAGTGGGGGGATTGTGGGTGGGACCAGCAACCCTACTCCACAAAAAAGCAGGTTCAACCCTATTGAAACTTCAAAGTACATGAAAAATAAACTTATTTGCTGTTGGAATCAGAGGGACTGATGATTTCGAGGACGGATGATACTGGCGTGTGTAGTAGTTTAACGATCTAGTCGACTAGTTTCTTAATTCAACAAGAAAAATCACGTTACATTGGGTTCACCGATTTCGGCACTACTCACACTGCCATTTTTTCTTTCTTGTAAAGGTTTTGGCCTTTTACTGTGTATACAATTCATCATTCATCAAATAGTCTCAAAATGATAATTGTTTGAATTACTCTTTCTTTATCGTCTTGAAATATGATTCTTGAAATAGCACGTGTCATGTACTAGACAGTTATTTCATTGTAATATTGTTAAAGTGGTTTGAACTAGTGAAGCTGTCATTGCTATCTATACACAAAGCAATACTGGTGTTGGTGTCGGTGAATTCCATATAGGCGAATCAAAGGACAGCATATCATCTGTATTATTCGATTTTTAGCCTCCTCTTTTTTGGTTGCCAATCATTGTGTGGAAGAAGTACATTAATAAATTTTATAATTATAATATTAAGTTTAATTGGTGGATAGTGACTAGGAGTGGAATCCAGGATGCGCATTTCGTCCTATTTGGGACTCGTCATCCGGATGTACCTGCATTTCTCAGTGAGTGATGATGTTCCCACCGAGGCTCGAACCCAGTGCCCATAGTTTCCAACGCCAAATCGACGGGAAAAATCTAAAATTCAATTAAATCAATATGACCCGTTGCACAAGAGGTGGCTCTCGTCACCCAAGTGGTCTAGAGGGTAACGCTTTGGCGTTGGAAACTATGGGCACTGGGTTTGAGCCTCGGTGGGAACATCATCACTCACTGAGAAATGCAGGTACATCCAGATGACGAGTCCCAAATAGGACGAAATGTGCATCCTGGATTCTACTGCTAGTCACTATCCACCAATTAAATACTAATTAAATGTCCAGACATCGTCGAAGCATCTGCTCAAGAAGCCGACATGTCAACCTGAGACCGAGCACTTCTGTCCAATCAATCGACGGGAAAAATCTAAAATTTAATTAAATATTATGTTTCTTTTAGTTTTACTTTATTTCCTACTTGTTCTCAGCATTGTGGTAGAGCTGAATTCCTCTCAAAACTTTTATAAGCACACTAACTTCTTCGTGGCATGTTTCATTGTACAACATTAATTATTGAATCATTTTCATATTTTTAGCCACCAGAGCGATTATTGAAAAAGAAGCTTCTCTATTATTGTATGTACAAATGAGCTCAATCAAATCCGTCTTAAGGGTAATTTGACAAGCTGATAACTCTGTCTCTTCATCAGGTAATACTGCTGGCAGTGATTCAAATAGCAGAATTTGATGGTTTCATGCTCTTCTTGCATTTGTATGTTTTCATTTGAATAAGAAACATTTTTAAATGAAGGTTTCCAAATTACAGAGAGTCGTTCACAGTATATCAATATGTAGGATTTCTGCTGATGTAAGTATTATTACATGATTTGGAATGTTTTAATTGATGATTATAAAATAGCTTTATACATGCATGTATATAATTTTGCGCGTGATATTGGGAATTCGGTACATACTAAATTCTAATAAGCTCTGTACTAAAAGAATGTTGACGAATTTCTGTTGCTTGTGCAATTTAACGGTATAAATAAAAAGACAAAGTTGTGTTCGAGGGTCAGCATAAAAGCTATCGCAAGATGTGTATACGTTTAATGTAACCAACGCCACAGCAGATAATAAAGTTGTGTAAAATTTGATGAAATATCTTTGAAATAGCAAACGATAACATCTGATATGCTTTTAGCATTCCTTTTAGTACGTAGTAAAATTTCACGTCAAACTTACTGCCCGAGGAAATCCAAAGCGTAAGTCACCTCAATTCAAGTATATAAAGACGAAAGTGTTTCAGTGTTTGTTTTGTAACAACTTATGTCTTAAATCAACTATGAGCGTTAGCAATTCTTGCGTCTCTTTGATGGTTTCGTGTGATCGACGGATAATGAAGTAAAAATACTCCGTGAATAAGTGGTTGGAATATGATGAGTATTTGGTAGGGTACTATTTTGCGATATATAAATTGCACCATTGGATTTTTTTTTCTGAAGCTGTGTTTCATTTCAAGAATGTATTTTGGAATAGAATAACGTCTAAATTCATTTCCAAAGCTGAACGAAATCTGCGAAAAGGAAACACCAGGAAAGGAAATTCTCAAGAAGTCGCATTTCTTCTATTTAGATGAGGTGACTAATTTGAATGATCTACCTAAGTAAACTATTTGCTGGGATGATATGATATCGTGCCTTGCTAATGTAGAATCTAATAATCTGCACCACTTTGCTCACGCCTAATTATATCTCAGTTACATTAATTCACTTCGTCTCATGAAACCACTAGCTGCTCCCATCTCAATTGTAAGCAAGTGATATTTAGTTTAATTCACATCTCATTTTTGTTCAATATTTAGTCAGATACTGTGATTTCTACAAACAAATCTTCTTTTTATTCATTCATCCACCACAGTGGTTTCGCCTATCTTCTAACTCTAACGTTCGTTTTCTCAGTGAAACTTTATGGAACGTTTCCTGTTAATACCGTTTTACTGATAATAAATGTGAGTGATTTCGTTGCAGAAAATATGAGACCTGACAATATCCATTTACTGTAAAATGTCTGTTAGAATTTATTTTGCTTGTGAGTATTACCTGCTATTCCTAGGAATAACATAAAACGCAAATGTGACCTTCATACAGTTGTTATTTTCTAAGAAATAGGTTGAGGCAGCACGAAGTGATAACCTGATATTGTATCAGGATGTCATGTTCAGAACATAGGCAATCGAGAGATAGTGGCGAATATCAGTGTCTGGAGTGAATGATTTTCGTGTTGTTGAGTTTATGTGAGCTGGATGGATTAATTGTGATGCGTTCATCTTCTTTCTGGACGACATATTCAGTAATGACATCAACATGAAGTGGACTTTTAGAATTTTACAATAATGGAAAATCGATCGCTTCTGATAACATTTGAAGTGGTTATTTGTCATCGGGGATTTGCTGATCTCCTTGTTCACTAGTTATGGTGATGATAATTTTTTTAACGTAACATTTATCTTTTATCAATTTTCAAGTATTGGTCTTTTAGGGATTTTATTTGATTAGTTGGAGGATTTCACCATGAGGTGACATCATTTAGAGAACCACTGGAAAACCTGGGAGTACTGAACAGCTGTTTCGTCCTAGTTTGGGGCTCTTCGGCAGTACGCACACACTACTTTTCCATTACTTGATAAATGTCATTTATGTTGGTGTCTACTAATACAAACACAAATTGAGAGGAGTGTGAGAAAATCTCCGAAGGCAGCAAGTAGATTACAAATACATCAAAGGGGACGGCTTTCATATTCATTGCGAGTTCTCCAATCTTACTTCGTCCTGTATCGCAACTACAGTGTAGAATAAAACCCGTATCATTATTACAATGAAGGCGTTAGCACTGAAGATGTTGTCCAGAAATTTAATAAGTCTTGAAGTATTGGAATTGTGGTTCATAAATACATTAATTCTATGCACCTGCGTATTACACAGACAATAATAACATCAACCTAAATGAAATTTATAAAGCTTTCGATTATTAAAATGTTTCCACTTGTATTGTTTTCTTATAGGCAGCTTTGATAAGCGCTGGTTTCGGATTACTTATGTTTATCAAAAATTTTCTATGGACCTGTATAATTCTAGCAAGTGATTTGGTTATCGTGTGTATATTTCTTGCTATCGGGAGCACAACATACTTTTTCAGTATAACTTTAATGTATATTCTGACAGTTTTGTTGGCAATTGCAGTTGTAGCATTTTCAATCATCGCTGCAATGGAGAAGATTCCATGGGTAAGTTTGGGTGGTTACTCTGTTTCTATCAGGTTTTGTATGCTAGGAGGGGACAGGTGTTTTTTTTATGGCATTTGTTGTTTAGCATTCAACACAATTAAAATTTGCATAAGAGTCACTAATGCACTTCTCACAGATGATACAAAGTGTAGTACATGAACAAAGGGGAAGACAGGGTGTCTATATGACAGTTGCAGCATTCATTTACTATCAAACTCCAGTCTCTTTAAAAATTGTCGTGTTCATATTTAAAAGAAACAACACATTTGAAGGAGAAATATATTCCTTTTTATTCAGTTATCCATTAATGGCTCTACACAATTATAAGATATTGTTGAACACTAAAATTCTGTCATTCATGTGTTGATGTGACAGGCCATAGGAATTATCTATCTGGAGATATGGTAGAGGTGAGAATAATTCATTATCGAAATCATTAGAGTTGGTATGATTGTTTCTTAGAGAACAAGCCAATGAGCGAATAATTTGAGAGTAGTGAGGTGGAATGTGATTTTGAAAGTCGGCTATCCAGAAAATCGTTTTGTTCAGTCCCTTTTAGAGGCTCATGTGCACACTACCTAGGAGTGTGGAACATGGGAAAAAAAGCTATCCATTAATACCTGGTCTTCATTGTTTAATCAACTGATATTATTCTGAGACCAAACTCTAAATGCTTTTGTGATT